ACCCTGAACTTGCCAGGCAAGTGCTTATTCTACTGAGCTATCTCCCCGGTATGGGCATGGTTTAATTACATTTCATAACCTTTCCATCTCTACAGGGCCAAGCAAGACACAGGTGAAATAATACTGCCTGCAACCCAAAGACACAGAATTGGAACCCAGGTGCCACTTCCGTTCTGCGCTTCGCTGGCTCCTCATAGAGCAGACAGGAAGGGTTGAGTCCTCACCTCTGGCTATTTTGGGTTATCTAACCATTTAGGAGTCACTTATGTCCTGGACTTGTTTCCTCCTATGTAAAATGGGAACAATCATACCAGGCCTAGCTCTGAGATAATGAGTTAGGAAATACTTAGGGAAACAAAAGCCCTGGACACACATCCTGGATGAGAATCAGAGAGAAGGAACCCACTGAGGAGAAGCCTCTGGCTGGGGCTGGCAGGCCACAGAAGAGAGGAGGCAGACCTTCTTCTGCAGTGAGCCCCTCACTGAGAATGCAGCCCAGTTGTAATGTTTTCCGGGCTGAACCAACTTGTTGACACAGCAAGGTCTGAGATATCTGTACAGTGCCCCTTCTCAAAGCAGTGTGGCCCAAGATGGTCCCCTCTGGAGCCACCCAGAGGGGTCTGACTTGCAGATTCTTAGGGCTGGCTTGAACCTCAGAGTCCCAGGAGGTGGGGCCCACACCCCTGCATTTCTAACAAATGCCTGCAGGGGGTTTGGGCACAGGGAATATTTGAGACCCTCTCTTCTGAGACAACCACAGGACTGTTTCTCTAGCACCACCGCACTTCTGGCTTCCTCTTAGGGCTGGACCAGCCAGCTAGTCTAGAAGAAGGAAGCAGCTGGCCCTTTCTTCTTTGTGTGCTGTGTCTTCAGAGGCAGCATGTCAGAGGGGGTGAGTACCCTGGCTCCTCTCCCATTTGTTCAGGGTCTCAGCAGTCCCGTTGGCCCGGCTCGCTCAGGCTGATGGGATTGGGGACTGCTCTTGCTTCCTTCTGACTCCCCTTGGTTCAGGTGGGCACATTCCGCATGGTGACCGAAGAGGAGCAGGAACTTCGGGCTCAGCTGGAAAAGCTCACGACCAAGGACCACGGGCCTGTGTTTGGCCTGTGCAGCCAGCTGCCACGTCATACCTTGCAGAAGGTGAGGAGGCCAGAGTGCAGAGAGGAGTGGTCTAGGGCGGCAACACAGGGATGGAGGAGGGTGGGTAAGGCCACACCAGCAGTACCCTTTCCCCTGTAGAAGGGTTCAGGACTGCTGGACCAGCCTATTCTAGGACCATCTGGGCGGTCAGGGCTATGGCAGCTGCTGAGCTGAGCAGCACACAGTCCTCCCTGACCCAAGGCTCAGCCTGAAGCTTCTGGACTAGAGATCATCTTAGCCTTACCTATGAGCAGCACTCATTTGGAAGTAGCTTGACTGGACGAGGACCCACTGGATAGACAAGAGGCCCAAGTTCTAGAGCCAAACCTGCTTCCAGCTTTCTGTGTGACTTGAGTGGATGGGTTTTCCTCTCTGGGTGTTGCCTTCTGTACCTATGA